CACCCGAACTTCTGGAAAGGACAGGAAGTCCGGCAGTGCCAGTGAGTATTTAAGGCTTCAGCAGAGGGACTTTGAGATACAAACCTGGTGCCCCCTTGTTCACTTTGCTTATCCCGCGTTAGATACAGGAATTCAAATCGAACCGTTAGAAACATTTCTCGTAACCTCGGTATGACCAGTCCTCTGTGAATCATGTTTTACCATCTGATACTGAAATCCAGGAATTCATAAGTAAAGAGAAAGTAAATTTTAGTGTCAGTAGTCCTTGGTACTAGGCTAAATTATCAGCTAAGTAAATAAAATCTGTAAAAGAATTATAGTATATGACCCTTGAGCCAGAAAGATGACCTTTAAGAGCCTGTCAAACCTGAATGTTTTTTAAAACAACCCCCGCATTACAGTTGAAAATTTAGCATACAATTTGAATTGTCAGAAGATATCACAAAATAGCTAATTTTCAGAATAGATTTTTTTTACTTGAAACCCACTTTCTGACTTTTTCATAAAAAGTAGTTTACATGCAAACATTAACTTTTTTCAAATTTGAGCAAAATTTGGAACACATCCTGGCTTTCTAGAAATTAATATTTTGGTTATATTGAAAGCTATTGGTATGTTTTTGTTTGTTCTATCAGGTTATTCTTGGACACTATAATTGGCTCTCCTATGAAGATGTCTTCGTTAGAGCCTTTAACTTCGGAAATGGCTTACAGATGCTGGGTCAGAAGCCAAAGACCAACATTGCCATCTTCTGTGAGACCAGGGCCGAGTGGATGATTGCTGCGCAGGCGTGCTTCATGTATAACTTCCAGCGTGCGTCCGCTTTCTTACCTTTTGGGAGAGGGGACCTATGTCATTGTGGGAGAGACCATACTGACTTTTATTATAAATATTTCACTCTTCCGAGATTGAAATTCTGATGTTACTTTTCACCTTGCATTCATTCATTGGAGAACTTCTTGTTATAACTTAGAATTATTGATCTGTTTTGGGAAAGGAACTGGTTGTAGAACACTTGGTGCAGTCCCTGTAACAGGATTTGAGCATGTTAATAGGGGACTTTCGGAGTGTAGGGAGCCATGCCTGCACATGGCTCTCATTTCTTAGCATTTCTCCTTTGACGGCAGTGTCATTTTGTTATGCCACTTCTACTGGAGTAAGTTGACCTCTTAAACTCTTCTAGTACTCAAACTCAGGGAGTAGGCTAAACAATAGAGAATTTTTATATTGTAATTATTTCAGTGGTATTCATGATGCCTCAGTCTGTGAGGTAGTTCTGGAAGCTTAGTTGAGAGGTCTTGGTGCCAAAATGTGATGTTAAGTATAGACATTAGCTCATCCCGTAGATGAAGCAGAAAAGGTACTTGTCCCAGATTTCTTGCTGTAGATTTCTTTAGTTTTTTTTTTAATTTAAATTGTCACACCTTTTTATTTTCACAGGTTTTTAAAATGTTTCTTTTGAGAAGATTTAAAGTAATCTCTTAAAGTTGCCTTCAGACTTTTTCTTAAAATTATTTTGTTAATCATCACCCGAGGATATTTTTTCCATTGATTTTTAGAGAGAGTGGAAAGAAGGGAGGGGGAAGAGAGAAAGAGGGAGAGAAAGAGAGAGGGAGACACACACACACACACACACACACACACACACACAGATATCGAGTGAGAGAGAGTCGATTGGTTGCTTCCCGCACATGCCCCAGTAGGCACCGGGGATTGATACTGCAACTCAGGTATGTGCCCTTGACTGGGACTCGAACCTGAGATCCTTTGGTGTGCAGGTCGACACTCTAACCATTGAACCACACTGGTCAGGGCAAGCCTAGCTCTTCTGAATTAGGCAGAAAGCAAATAAAAATCCACCTTATTATGTAATTTTAACATTTTAAAGAATGTTTTTCTTTAGATTTTTCTGCTTTGGAATAAGCAGTATTGACACTTGTTCATGTTATTACTGTAATGTGTAATACTTTAAATCCAACCCCCAATGTGTTATATTACTGGTATATGTTCTTTTTCATATTTTATTTTATTTATTGATGTTAGAGAAAGAGAGATAGAAACACTGATGAGAGAGAACATCGATTGGCTGCCTCCTGCATGCCCCACACTGGGGATCAAGCTCACAACCCAGGCATGTGCCCTGACAGGGAATCGAACTGGAGATCTCGGTGCATGGGTCAATGCTCAATCTACTAAGCCACACCGGCTGGGCACTTTTTCATATTTTAGTACCAAATAGTTAACAACTAAGACTTGGGATTCTAGAAGTCAGATATAATTACTTCCAGTGTGACAGTCTCACAGTAACATCTGTAGGTAAAACAAAGTAAAACAAAACTTTTTAAAATAGTGGAAATCTTGGGAGAAATTAGGGAATGGTGAGTAGGAATAATGTTAATTAGCATATTAAAAACTTTGGGAAAATGTAGCACAGTTAGATCATAAACTATGGACCTAGTGATTTAGGGTTTAGTGTGCTTCATTGTGATTGGTGTCCACTTCCAGAGGCTTTGCTTACATTTAGTTGGTACACCGGTGGGATATGTCAGTACTGACTTGCCCTCCTTTTCCCTGTAGTTGTCACGTTATATGCAACTCTAGGAGGTCCTGCGATTGTTCATGGACTAAATGAAACAGAGGTGACCAACATCATTACTAGTAAAGAACTCTTGCAAACAAAGTTGAAGGTGAGGACTGGAGTTTTTTATAATTGTCTGATAATTTCGAATTTTCAATGTCATGAGCTCTATTATTGATACCTACTTATTTTATGATCTTTAAAATCCTCATTATCTTTTAAACTTTTAGGAATATCATTTATTGGAATATCATTTTATTTCTTTAGAAAAGGAAAAGTAGATTTCATATGTGTGTGTGTGTGTGTATACATATATATAACTAGTACAGAGACTTAAAAAATTAATATGCCCATATCTAATAAGGTGAAGGATTACAACTTTTTCTTTTCTTTTGTGCCCATCTGTTTTATAGTTTATTTTAAATAAATTATTAATTTTAAGGGTTATTTTTAAGCTAGTAGCTTTATGTCTGAAGCATTGAGTCATTATGAGTTTTCAGAACTTTTTATTTTTTTAATTTTTTTTTAAATTTTTTTTATCCTCACCCGAGGACATTTTTCCATTTTTTATTCAGATAGAGGGGAGAGGGAGAGAGAGAGAGAAAGAAACATCGATGTGAAAGGGACACATCAAGTGGTTGCCACCTGCACGACCCAACCAGGGCCGGGGACAAACTGCAACCAAGGTACATGCCCTTAGCGGGAACCGAACCTGGGTCTCTCTGGACCACAGGCCGACTCTCTAACCGCTGAGCCAAACCGGCCAGGGCAATTTTTTTTTTTTTTTTTTTAAAGAGAGAGAGGCAGGCAGGCATCCGGCCAGGTAGTTTTCAGAACTTTTTAAAGGGAAGAGAGATACTTCATGAAACTACAGTAAAATTGGGTTTCTGTAGTTTCTAGACAACTCCCTGTGAAAATGATAATAGTCAATGTTGTTTTTTTTAAAATATACACATATATAAGTGAGTTCCATCCCCTTCTCCTGGATCTTTATTATAGCCTCTCCCTGTGTGAGGGAGTTTGGCTCCCCTGCAGTTCAGGCAGCCTGTGTTTACATGCTGATTTTGTGAGGAAGTAACTTTGTTGATCAGGGCTTTACAGAGCAGAAATGTACAAAGTAAATCTAGTGCCGTTAACAGTAATTTACATTTCAGACCAGTGCTTCTCCATCTGAAAAAGTGGTATTCATACCAGACCAGTGTACCCTCTTCCCCTTTTTTTGAGGCAAGAAATGAATAATTTATTGAATGTGGTAAACTGCTTTTCTTGTGACCCAGTACCATTTGCTAAGTTGCTGTATGAAGCGTAATGAACACGGTGAATGCTTGTGTTTTTCCAGGATATAGTTTCTTTAGTCCCACGCCTGCGGCACATCATCACTGTCGATGGCAAGCCACCAGCCTGGTCCGAGCTCCCCAAGGGCGTCATCGTGCACACCATGGCCGCAGTGCAGGCTCTGGGCGCCAAGGCGAGTGCCGGTATGTCGCAGCTCCCAGTCCCTGCTGTCCGCTCTCCAGGTCACTTCTGCACCATCATTCTGGGAACCAGGATCCCTCTAGGTTTACTTTCATCCACCCTTTCAAGAAAGGTTTAAGGAAACATACAAATGTCAATTTACGAATGTTCTAAAAGTAGCATTTATTTGAAATTAGTTTACAATGTGTTTTACTTTATATAGTTTATTCATTTCCTTTTTCTCATAGTTTGGTTTAAAGTTAGTTTTATAAATAATGGCATTAAACTTGTCCTCTGTTTGAATTATCTGTGAGTATTAAAAGGTAGATAAACCTGGATCCCTTCTTTTACTCCCTGTTCCAACTGTACCTCTTCCAGCGGGGACATCTTTTTATCGTCCAACTAGCACAGCTAGACACGGTGACTCTGGGAGTTCCTCCTCTCAAGTAACTATCAAAAAGTATTAGCAAGTACACTGGCGTTTAAGGATATTGTAGAAAGCTGCTTGGGTGCTGGGGTGTATTTCCTGTACAGTTGGAAACTTAGTGATTAATTTGATGGTAGCATTGGCTCAGCTCTGGAATGGGGTTATGCTGACGTTAATTTTGAGTAGATTGAATTTCAGGTGTGAGCGCGACATCAGGGTACAGAGTGACAACCCTCAGAAGAGGGGGTCGTGGGGGGAGGGAAGAGAGAAACCACAGAACTTATATGCATGTACGCATAACCAATGGACATGGACAACAAACCCGGGGACGGGGCAGGGGGATAGGGAGGAGGGTGTAAACATCTGTAACAAAAATACAATAAAATAAAATGCATACTGCAAATAATAAAAACAACAACAACAAAATAAAATGCAGATATCTAGTGGACAGTGGCCTGTACAGGTCAAGTACTCTGCAGTTAAGTTTGTACTTAAGAGATTTAGAAGCCAGAAGCAGTTAGTTTTCTTTTTTCCCACCAGGGGTGAAGAACCTCCCAATTCACTTTGAGGGGCAGAGCCACAGCCTTCACTGGTGATGAGGTTGCTAGCTGTCAGCACCTCTGTGCAGACTGCTGTGACAGTGTAGGTACCGGGCGACTAGGCTTTAGTCACAGCTGTGGAGTAGGTGGGTCACCCACCGAGAATGGCACCTTCAGATGCCCCCAGGAATGGTCAGAGAGGAAGGAAGGAAACAGGGCTCAGTGAGGCAGGAGTCATCAGGACCAGGTGCACGGAGGAGTCAGATGTCACAGGGAGTGCAAGAGGACCACCTGTCTTAGGAAATGTCACCTCAGAGCAAGTTCCAAGAAGTGGTGGGAGGAAGGAGCAGACAGCAGATTAGGAAGTGAGGGCTTGAATGAGAACAGTTGTCGAGAAATACATCTGGCAGGCAGGAGAGGATGGCTTCACTTGGGAGCATGTTGAAAACTTGGCCCCACTTATTTCAAAGTCCACACGTAGGGTAGTTCCAGGATTAGTTCAGGCAGGCCATCAGTGCCAGCCACGACCCACTACTCTTTGTCTACTGTGTCTCTGTAGGATGTTGGCTGCTGTCCTAGGCTTGTGCAAACGGAGCCTATTGTCTTTAATCCAGGATTCCGAGCGTAGCCAAGTTTACTTACCACTGTGAAGCAGAGAACATTTTTAGCAAATGTCTATCCACCCTAATTTTTAATTGAATTGCTGGGATAGCCTTTGTCTTCCTACCTCCTTCCTTCCTTTTCTCAAGTCAATGTAGCCACACAGCAGCCAAAGCAATCCTTGTCCAGGGTGGTAACAAAACAGTACTTTCCTAAGTCCTAGTGTGGTCTCGGAGGCTCCACATGGTGTGGGCCTGGCTGCTGCTCCCCCTTCCTTCCTGCCGTTTTCTCTGGCTTGCTTCATCCCACAACACCGCCCACTGCCCTGTATTTAGGCCAAACACATTTGTACCCCAGGGCTTTCTTGGTTCTTCCTCACTTTCTTCAGGTCTTCACTAAAATATCAACTCCACAAAGGCCTCCTCAGACTTTTCATCTAGATAGCTTCTACTGTCTGTCATCTTCTTACCTTGTCTTGCTTTATTTTTCTTCATAGCTCTTATTATATTATAGATTTATACGTTTGTATCCCAACAGACTATATGTCCCTTAATGCAGGGACTTGATTTGTTTTTTGATCTCTGTGTGATGAAAAATTGTTGAGTTGAGTTAATAAACACATGGTTATGAAAAAATCGGCACTTTGGCTAAATTTCTCAGAAATGTGTGGGTGTGATTTCTTCAATGCAGAAAACGAGCCTCCGAGTGCACCTGCGCCCTCGGATATTGCAGTGATCATGTACACGAGTGGGTCCACAGGGCTCCCCAAAGGAGTCATGATCGCCCACAGCAACATCATCGCTGGCATCACCGGGATGGCGGAAAGGATTCCACGCCTGGGGTATGTTGTAGTGAACGGACATGGGCGAAGCCAGTATTTATGCCTGTCATAGTGATGTGTGTGACACGCAGTCGTGAATGGTTCAGTGAGTCCTTCATTCTGTTTACAGCAGACATTGCCTTCAAAATAGGGCTGTAAAATTAATTACAAAATAGTCATAGTTGTGAAATTTTAAAATATAGTTTATAGATATTGTTAACAGTGAACTTTAAAAGTGCAAATTTTGACCGAAATCTTTAGATTATTTTAATCAGTTAGTGTTGCCTCTACAGTCATTTTTATACCTAAATATTATAATTCAAGTAAACAAATAACTTAATATATTCAGTAAGTGTTTATTGAGGTTCTATATTCAGTCTCTGATTTTTCTTTCTGAAACAAATTTCAGGGGTAGCAGGGGAAGGAGGGTGTACTGGAGGGGGAGGTGCCGGGGGGAGGGTTCCTGGTGGGGCTTTGAGGGACTGTACAGAGTATTCCCAGAGATGGAGCCAGCATGCTAATGACTGAGCTGGGCAGTGGGTGGGTATTTTCGAAGCCCTAGGCACAGAAATTACACACATGTACACACTGGTTACTGTGGAATGGAATTTGAAAATGGAGAGAGAAGTTTCTGTCATGCATGCATAACTTTCAGGAAAAAAATTAAGAGCAACAGTTTTCTTCTGAGTTTGTCTCAGTTGCCCGTCATAGTTTGGGGATGGGGCAGTTCTTGAATTATGTAAGGTATAATTTATTATTTGTAACTTAATCTAGCTCTCAGGACAGGAGTCTCTTCTTTAAGATGTGTGGCAGACAGTTATGGATTCTTTTTTTTTTCAATCCTCACCTGAGGATATTTTTCCATTTATCTTCAGATAGAGTGGGAGAGGGAAAGAGAGAAATATCGATGTGAGAGGGACACATTGACTTGTTGCCTCCTGCATGACTCTGACCAGCTGGGGACGAACTGCAACCGAGGTACATGCCCTTGATTGGAATCCAACCTGAGAATCATTGGTCCGAGGGCCGATGCTCTAACCATTGAGCAAACCTGCCAGGGTACGGATTCTGTTTGAACTCTGCTTGGTAGCCCACTAGCTTTAAAGACGCTTTCTCCTTGGACTTCTTCTCCTTCTAAAGAACCCTTCCATTTTTTTTACCCCGATATTTTATTTCTTCTGCCTTAGTTCTCGGCTCTGCAGCATTTAAAATTGATTATCGAGTGCCTTCAAGTAGGACTGGACACAGAGCCATTTGCTTAGAGTGTCAGCCTCCTTAGTTTTAGACTGAACTGGAGTTTTTTTCCCCTGACACCCCCAATGTCTGCCTGCTGCGTCGCTCGCTGTCCTGTCACACACACCACTGCCCCCGAGCAGGGGTCACACTGAGGGCCCTCCATACGCCTTTCAAGCTTGCTCCCACTGGCGTCCCTTTCAGAGTCTGACAGTTTCTTCCTGGATCTCCTTCTCTTTCAGGGAGGAAGATGTTTACATTGGATATTTGCCTCTGGCCCACGTGTTAGAATTGAGTGCTGAGCTTGTGTGTCTTTCTCATGGATGCCGTATTGGCTACTCTTCACCACAGACGTTAGCAGATCAGGTAAATTAAATGGCTGTGACTTGAGGTACTAAAGGCCATAATCATTTTTAAAACATTTTCCCTGTCAGTTTGACACTATATTGGGAAGATGACAGTTAATTAATTTAAAAATAAGCACTTGCCTTTTTTTAAAATTTATGTTGCTTTTTATTTATCTATTTAACCCTCACCCGAGGATATTTTTCTGTTTATCTTCAGATAGAGTGGGAGGGAGGGAGAGAGAGGGAGAGAGAGAAATATCGATATGAGAGAGACATTGACTGGTTGCCTCCCGCACGACCCCAACCAGGGTTGAGGACAAACTGCAACCGAGGTACGTGCCCTTGACGGGAATCGAATCTGTGACTCATTGGTCCTTGGGCTGATGCTGTAACCACTGAGCAAAACCGGCCAGAGGGAACTTTTTTTTTCTTTTTTAAGAGTGGAAGGGAGCCCTGGCTGGTTTGGCTCAGCGGTTAGAGTGTTGGCCCGCAGACCAAAGAGTCCCAGGTTCAGTTCCCCCTAAGGGCACATACCTCGGTTGCAGTTTGTCCCCGGCCCTGGTTGTGTCTCTCTCACTTTGATGTCTCTCTGTCTCTCTTCCTCCCACTCTATCTGAAGATAAGTGCAAAAATGTCCTCGGGTGAGGATTAAAAAAAAAAAAAAAGTGGAAGAGAAGGAAGGAGGGAGGTGGAGGTAGGGGGAGAGAAAGAGACATATATACATAGACGTGAGAGAGACACATCAGTTGGTTGCCTCCTACACAACCCCAACCAGGGCTGGGGATTAAAACTGCAACCTGGGTCCATACCCTTGACTGGGAATCGAACCCAAGACCTTTCGGTCCTCAGGCTGACGCTCTAAGTGCTGAGCCAAACCAGGGAGGAATCCATTGAATTTTAAAATAAGAATCACTTTAAATAAATCACTTTTTCTCTCTAGTCTTCAAAAATAAAAAAAGGAAGCAAAGGGGATACGTCCATGTTGAAGCCAACACTCATGGCAGCGGTTCCGGTAAGAATTGACCACTAATTAATACTGAGTTCTAAAGAAGTGGCATCTGCTACAGACACACGTGCTAGTGAGACAGGTCCTGTTGCCAAAGTAGTTAATGGAGGGTTTATACCTTACGATTTCTGTACCGTGTTAAGCTCTACGGATTGATTCATTCTTGTTTTAGTTTTATTTTTCTTGTTTCCAGCTTCTGTATGTATTATACTATCAGCTCCTTTCTCTAAATAGCTTCTTGTTCAAATTATTTATGAGATTTTTTTGCTATTAGTAGAAACCTGAAGCTCAGCAGGAGGTAGGAGAGACAGGTTAAGATCACCTCCTTCCAAGCAAGTAGTGTAATTACCTCCTGACTCCTCAGGGAAAGTCTTACCTAGACACCAAATAACATGACAGAGAAGTTGGTGCCACTTTGAGTGACCTGTGCTTCCTAATGAAGTACCAGGCATTGGGCGGAGCCTGAGAGCGAGGTCAATGAAAATGAGACACAGTGATTTCCCCTCCTTAATGGAAGTCTCATGTGGCTTTCTGATTTTGTTTGAAGGTGTTAAGAATTATGATCAGATACTAGAGTGCTCACGTCTAAGCATAATTACGTAGTTGTTCCAAAATCAAATTTAAATGAGCAGCAGTTTTGGAATTTCTGTAGGTATATAGTTTCCTTAATACTATTTAAATGTTGAGTTATGTCAAAATTAAGTATAATTTGAAACTGTAGAGAAAAAAACTGAAGTCATTAAAGAATACTTTATAGTAGTAATCGGCCTAGCAAGCAAAATGCAGTGCAGACAAGGAACATTTCCTGGGTACAGCATTGAAAGACAAAGACCAAGCAAAATAACCCCAAGGTCCTCTTGTGAGCAAAGAATGTGGTTCTCTGTAACTAAAAACCATTTCATATAGTTGTTTATTTATTTAATGAGTTTAGTTTTTAGTTCAGAATGAGATGAAGAAAAGCAATATAAAAAATCAATATATTACTGCCTCAATGCTTTTATTTATCTCTTTTTACTACTTATGAGCATCTAGATATATATTTGCTATTAAAATTATTTTTAAGGTAATTTGTGTCTGTATTTTAAAAATATGTTCCTGATAGGATATA